AAGGATCTAACCGTGAGGTCGCTGAGAGCTTTCTGGCATGCCTTCAAGTTGGAAAGTGGTATGCTCCAAGTGCGATCCTTCACATCATAACTACTCGATTGGACTGACTTGATCGCTTCATGCACAGCAACGTGGTATGGAGAGAACCGCACCTTAATTGAAAATTGGTCCAGGTAGAAGGACAGAGGTATGGCTGTAGTTCGCTAGTACAGGGAGCGACTTTTCCGCTATGGAATTTTTTTCACGACAAAAACCCCGCGTCCCCATCATTGGCGGGGTCTAGATCCCTGCAGCAAAAGAAAGGTTGTGCATGCGAAAAGCGGAAAATGCTTTCTGTCCTAGTGAATCACACCCCAGATGTTTTCAGAATATGGTCGAAAGCCTGGAATGGTTTCGAGTGACTTACCTTGATCCTGTCACTCGTGAGCACACTCATGCATACGCGAATGTTAGACTTGGGTAGTCTGGCAGGTGTTGGAGGCTTGAATTGCTGAACTGGTGGAGTAGGGACTATTGGATGTATACTTAAAAATCGCAATGAGCAACATTTGAAAACGACTATAACGCATTTGATCAAATTAAGGAGACAAACGTGTAGGAAGCCTGATAAAAAAGAAAAATTTAAAAAAGAAAATAATGGAAAGGATTCAAGAACAAATCAAGACAATGCGGAACTTACTGTCGACGTGCTTGGACGGGAGGTTGCGTATGCAATGGTTAGTGTCGTGTTAGTATAATGTTGCAAACTCTAAAAGATGGTGCCGGTGGCAGTAGCTTTCAGGGTGTGGTATACTATACCATGTAAGGCATTACTCATATGAAAGATGTACAAGCTCATTTTTAGATTGCCACAGAATTGTTAATGTGATGTGTCGTGCAAGGTATTCTCCCCTATGAGATGCAGAAGAAATACTGACCCTCCAAATGGCCCGTCGTGGGGGTTGATTGTATTTGAATGTTCAGATTCACTAATTAAATGCTGAAAAAAAAAACTACAGAAAACGTATAGGCCAAGGGAGGAAGGTAAAGGCAAAAGCGCCGCCACTTCCGGAATTTTGATTCTGTTTCGCGGTTATGAACTGAACCACAGCTTCAACTGATAATTCAAGGAATCGAGTAGTGTTCTTATTCATTTGACCCCAAAATCAACAATATCAGAAGGAATGCAACTGTTTAGAAACTATAATGGCACAACTAAAAATTCCTACTCCTTCCAGTGAAGACAATGTGTCACACACTAAAGCGATTTACCCTGGATAAGTTGTCGAAGTAAGACGTAGCACGATGACTGGCCAGTATGTGTAACTCCCAAAAAAGGTAATTTCAAGTTTCGAAACATTTATATTTACTTTTAGCATTCAGCAGCATTTTAATGTTTGCGCTTTTAATTCTGCAAAAATGAGTACTACAATCAATTTGATGATGTGGATTCCGACGTTTTCCGTTTGAGGGGAAATTGTATGGTGAAAAGAGGGGCAAGTGGAGTCAGATCATAGACCAAATCCCAATGAGCCATTCGAATTTTGAGATGATTAATGTGCTAGGAGGTGTATTTACACATGAAACAAATTAATAGCTTTGTTCTTAGAAAGTCGCAATCTAAGAGTCGAGAAAGGCGGAAAAAACATTGAAATATGTCGAAAACAAAAATGCTATAGGAAACAAAACTTACGTGCTCTGGACGGGACGAGGGCTGCAATGAAGTTGACACCTGCAAAAGTAAACCTTCTGATTTGGCCCTGAATAGCGTCAAAGCTTGCAACTGAGACTGATGACAAGATTCTGCTCGGTTAACGCTCTAACGTTATAGCTTCCCTCAGAGCCTCTAGAAATACAGATGTCCATCTGCAAGGCGTCATACAGCAGATGTACTTCTAAAGGTCTTAGCCAGTGGTATAAAATGCTGTTATCAGACTTGGTGACAAGCTTAAAGACCACTCATGCCCATGTTCAAGGGAAATATGAAATGATACACAAACGGACCTTCCAAGGCATTTTGATGTAAAAGAACTAACGGTGAAAATGTAGTTCGGGGGGGGGGCATAATATCTTATCAAAGTGAAGTTGCGGAAGATCACTCATATATAATCAACATTCGAAGCAGGCTCCTGAGTGTACGATTAAATAGGATCTAACCGGAATTCCGTACAAAACCCGATACCTGGAAGGGCCTTTCTTTGAGGGCTTGCATGGCGATCGCCGGAAGGTTGGTGAAAATGAAGAGTCAGCGAGGTAGCAGCCATTTTCGCCATAGAGTAATACAACTAGTGTAGTACTGGTCGTAGGACACTGTCGCAGCGAAAGACATTATGATCTTCAATAAGATATGAGTGTCTTTCCTCAACTCCACTTCCATGAGATAGGGCGCATTCATAGTTGGTCGTCCGATCGTAACGATCGCAACGATTGCACACCGTTAGATACATATCGATGGCATCAATTTTCAGACACGTTGATGATCGATACGCATCCAATGCTGTGCGACCGTTGATCGGACGACCGACTATGAAGGCGCCCAAGGGGTGCCCCCCGAACTACACTTTCACCGAACTCGACCGATTATAAATGCGCCCCCATAGGCTGCCTCCCCCTCCCCGAACTACATTTTTCACCAAACTAACTACCAAATATCGCTTGAGTAATTGAATAATTCATGCTTGAAGGAACTGCTGCTCAACTCAAAAGAAAGAGGGTGGTGTATAAGCATAGAAAACATTGCAAAAAGTAACCACAGAAATAAAAAGCAAAACATACATGTGCAGTAGGTGGACGAGATATATGCTGCGGAACGTTTTGCTGAAAGACAATAATTACCATAATTCATTCACGAATATAACTTCCAAGCTAAGAAAAGTAGCTATGTAGCTAGTTTATGTGATAATTAAAGCAACAGTCTCAGCAGGGTGGGCGTGGTCGGAAACGGTTGCAATCCCCTCGGTTGACGGACTACTTGAACCCCGGTCCTTTAAGCCGCCTCAGATCCATCTCTCGTCTGCGCTCTCTCACCTTATCAGCGGCTCATGGCCATTGTGATCATTCAAACTTTTGCCACACTGTAGTTGGCTCACCCACCTCGAAGTCCCTCCCTCCTACAAGGCTTAGTCCTAGGGCTCTCACCTCCTTCCTTGGGATTTGGAGCCGAGCCAGGCGCCGTTCTCTAACTGTCTGTGCCCTCCGCCATTCGTGGCAGGACCATGGAAGAAAGTTCAAGTAGTCCGTAAACCCAATCCCCTCGGCCGATTCCCACTTTGGAGCTGTTCAGCCCCTAGTCAAGAACGTAAGGAAGTGTGACTGAACAAAAACTCACCTTGGAAAGCCGCTAGGGAGGGAGCTGAAGTGGGCGTGGTCGGAATCGGCCGAGGGGATTGCAGTCGTTTCCGACCACGCCCACCCTGCTGGGACTGTTGCTTTAAGTATAGAAATGCTTCAACTCATTTGAACACTTGAGCTTGAATAGGTCCTATCGTTATAAAACGATCTAAGCAATGCAATAAAATCGTTCTTGATCGTTATTACTACATACAAATATTCAGGAAAAATCCAAGAAAAGGAAAAAAATCCCGATCTTTGTAATTTCCGCAATTTAGAATGACAAGTGACAGCATTAGACTTGGACTGAACAAATTGCGTGACATTAAAGTTAGGAGCACTCTATAACAATGAAATCGCAACGGCCAACATTTGCAATAGCTGCGCCCATCGGTGAGAGGACCTCACTTATGAAAACACCATAATTCACACTAATGCCTTGTATCCAAGTAACGACTCCGTTGTGAACCAAACTTCTTTCAGAACTTCTTATTTTCCCAAGTGGTTTAAATCAATTACCAACAAAGTAGCATAGACCGTGACAGAATTCAAAGACTTCAAATAAAAACTTGCTCGAAAGAGTCTCATCTAATAAGGTGGGGAAGTTGGGGGGAGGGCGCGAACCATATCGTTTCCCCTTCCACAACCATACAAGAGCTTCCTTCCCTTGCGAGAAAAATGGTGGTTACGGGGCAGCGGTCAACCAGTGCATGAGAGTCCAGACAGAAAAGCACATACTTTCTGCTACCCTAGGACTAAGCCTTTTGAAGGAAGGAAAGAAAGCAGAGACGCTGTAATAGTGTGCATATGCGAGAGTGCCCTAGAGAACACTACAAAACGCTGAATCACCAAGCCTTTCGGTTGACCGCTGCCCTTGTGACGCACCGCATGTTCCCTCGCCCATCCGCATAGACCGAAAAATCTGTTAACCATCGCTAGCCCTTAGCAGCAATCTATAGTAACTCAATCGAAGGTCGTACCCGAGAGCTAACAGTAGCACTAGCAGCAGCAGCAGCAGCAGCAGCGGCAGCAGCGGCCTCCCGTTTCTTCCTTTCCTCAGCTCTTCGTAGCGCTTCTGCTCTGTTAGCGGCAATCCTCCTTTTTTCTTCTTCCGTCAACGGTCTACTCATGCTTCTGCAAAATCCATTTAACAAAGCTTTTTTGCACAGCATCCAAAAACCTTCAAGCATCATGACTTAGAGGATGGTGAATCATGAATACTATGACCTTCTATACGAGAAGAAGCGATCAAAATGCCCAAATGTTGAAGAGATATGGGTGCTCATGTCCTTGAGAGGGACATTAAAAAGCTGGATCGAGGGTGACTTAGGATTCAAGAATTAGGATGCAGGGCGAGAAGCGGGCGAGAACGAATGTGCGCACATCCTAACTGCGGAACACATGCCCCTCGTTAGGCTTCGGCGTCCCAAGTACTGTAACTTGCTACTCTTGAGTGTCAGCCGGACATGAATGCCGAGAGTAAGCCAGTCGCACGAAAAGAACATGCCCGATTTCGAAATAGTTTGCACTTCGCGCCGCCCAAGTTGTTGTCGCGTGCGACGTCGCGGACAGGACAACACGTCGCACCGGCCTTTTTCTTCCTTCTTTTGTTCAGAATCGGCTTTCTAGCCCTTCTACAGCATTTTGCTAAGTTCAGCAGTGCGACTCCGTACAACTTCCGCGGACAGGGTATGATTACTGATAACGGCAGAAGTGATGGGGTGAGTTAATCCTTGCTTGATGAAAAAAGGTTTATTTTCCATTTGCTTTCTAGGACACGGAGCAAAACTCATCCTCATCAAAGCCTATTGTTGTATGGATGCAGAGAGATGGAAGCTACGTGGAGAATATTCGCAATATCGTGCTGCGAGTGAAGGATCCCTCAAAATTTGGTGAAAACGTGCAAGGCAAGTTTGTTATTCTGATCATTTATCCCCGGGTCATTCCTTCGAAATGGGGCGCGCAATTAGACAGGGGAAACCAGTTGAATAGCAGAATCTTTTCGAGAAACCATAGTCTAACGACATGAAAATGTTCATGCACAATTATTTTACACCCGATGTTTGCGCAACTCAGGTAAGCAATTCGGAGCTGTTCTACTCACAACTTCTTTTGTAAGCGTCAACGGTTGCTGCTTGGTTCATCGTCAGAGCGCCAAGCAAAACTCTTTTCTACTCTGAATCGTGGTATTCAGCTTAGATGAGTATCCTGGTCCTTTTTTGAATGAGTATTCATCGACTCAAAAATGTTCATGCTAATGTTTTCCCACACTACGAGACGCCACTGTTACCAACCGGCTGGTTCAGTGGAAGGCTTGGACGACCATGTTGAGATTCAATCCTTCAGGGTAGGCGGCCTGATCACTGCGCTACCTACCTTCAGAAGAAAGCTGGTGCCGCGGCAACATCCTAAATATACCCCTCCCCCTCCTCCAATTACACGCATATTTTGGTGAGCGCGTAATTGATGGGCGCTCTCATTACAGCAGGATTCGAGGGCGGAGATGGTTAAGTGGTTAAGGAGGTTAGACTCATGTCTGCACCTCTAAAACCGCGAGTTCGATCCCTGCCGAGGCAACCATGCCTTGCAAAAATTGCAAAAATGGTTCTAGTACCAGCGTCAGGCCCAGGTTGACAGGCCGGCTGATGAAGACCCCAGTCACAAACCATGTCTAAAAGTCAAAGAATCAGTGATAAAGCTAGGACGTCACCCGGAAGTGGCGCGCAGAACCCCCGCCCGAGTTCTGTGGTCAGTATGCGAGGGCTACCGAGGAGTGAACGGCCTCGGCCAAAGAAGCTAGTTCGAATTGGGACTCTGAACGTAGGATCGCTAACTGGGAAGTCCCGAGAGGTTGCTGATCTGATGACGCGCAGGAATATCCAAGTCCTATGCCTTCAGGAGACGCGATGGAAAGGCCAGGACAGTGAGGAACGTTGTCAAACATACTACAATGGAGGAGACTTTGAGCGGAACGGAAATAGCGGTAGCAGAGCCGCTCAGGGACTCTCTCCGCTGTGAACAGGATCAACGATCGAGTCATGGGCGCAGGGATAGAAATGAAAGAGGGGTGCTGGAATAGGGTGACTCACTCCTTCCTGAACAAGAACACTGCAGAAGGATGTCGAAGGCCTGGAGAACAAGTACCATCGTCCCCATCTTCAAACAGAAGGGTGACGCAATGGACTGCTCCAACTACCGCGGCATCAAGTTGACTGCGCATACCATGAAGTTGTACAAGCAGCTGGTCGATTCGAAGCTACTTCGGAAGTATTAACTCCACCATTGCAATTGGTTGCGTTGGTAGCGACAGAAGAGGCCTAGAGGCAGGGATAGGAGCGAGGTACCAAACTTATAACTCGGATCCAAGAAGTGCCGAATACTGGGAAAAAAGAATAGTCGGTGAAGAAGGAGATCAGCTGTTGTGGAGGAGCGGGGCATACATCAGAGTGAGCGGAGTCTTTCAGAGAGACTGGTAAAGAAAAGTGGGTAGAGGTCGGTGAGGACGAAAAGATCAAACGTTGTTTGAGGGCGGGACGTGCACCGAAATGGGCGGGGTTTGCCAGATTTATAAGTCGCTTCAGAGGCAGTCCAGAGACCGGGAATTTGGTGAGCATTTGTGGAGGAAGGAGGAAGGTCAGAAGCCATCGGTGGGTTGGGCATGCAACGTGGTGGGCGGGGCCAAAATTCAAAGTCGCAGCATGGTCCAGAGGTTGCACGGAGACTGAGACGGAAGCGGATAGAATCTAGCTCGGAGGGGCACGTCAAATGTTGTAGTGTGCCGGGTTAGATTTGATGGTTTTTGCCGCATCGTTCCATATTGCCGCAGAACTGTGTCGTGCTAACAGCGTGCTGCGCTAGCTGGTACAAATGTTTTAGGTATACCGAACACATCTGGGGAGCTAGTCGATGTGCGATGGGAATCTATTATGAATCTACGTCCCACAATCTTCGAACTCACCCATTCAAGAAATCCTCTGTCGCAACTAATTGGAATGCTGAGGCGTATTTCGGACGGTGAGGTAAGAACACGTTGAAGCACAATTTCTAGATGATGAGAATTTTTTATAGGTAGATGAGTTCTTCTCACGGCTCAAAATGATACTTTCTGGACACGACAGACGTCGACGTTCAAGATTTGCTTTTTATATTGCAAAAGTAGGAGGTTAATTACTGAAAAGCATTGTGTGTTTGTGAGCTGTTCTCGATTACGCATTTCAGACTTAAGCTGCTGGCTGCATTTCGTTTTCTGATACTCGTTTCTCGAAAAAAGAATGGAATCTTTTATCCTCTGAGCTCTCACGCCTGAGCGTACGCGCTGTGGATATGAGTAACGACATACTTGATGTACTGGATAGATTGAATGTGGAACTACTGAAACTCTCAGGTGGTCCCGGCATTAAAGTCAAGGCTCTCAAGGTGACGTTTATGGTTTTTTGAGAAGTGTCGTTAATGTCGAGCTTGGTGGAAAAAAATCGAAATCAATCAGCGGATGATCCTGTGGAAGTGAGGACCGCAGCGACGACGAGGGTGGTGACGGTCGCCTTAGGTGCTACTCCCTGCCCTCCCTTCCGACATATCTCATGGTCGATCTTGTTAATCGCGCCAATTTTTTCGATTCAAAGTGGGCACACTGAAGCCCCGCTCCCCTCCGAAATATTCCAAAATGCCATCAAATTTCATGCCATGCTGTGATAACCATGTCGCAAGCATCAAGAACCACCTTTGGGGGCGGGGCGGTTTTAAGAAGGCGGACCCGTTCAGGTTTGGAGTACAGTTGTGTTGCAACCTGCTCTCTTTCAGCTGGTCACGCACATAATCTTCTTTTGTCGTCTGGCTAGCACTTTCACTGATGAATATGCATCCCTGGTGCTGATCCACTTTATTGCAGATTGTCTTGAAAGACAGTGAACACGATCGCTGTGGGGTAAAGCGGTGCTGATGACGTCATGGGAATCCATTTTTGGACCAGCCAGTCCCTACAGCGCGATGGTTGTGTGGTTGGGAGCACCTTCAGTAGCGCTTAACCTATTACGCTCAACAACGCTACCAGACCCTCCGTCTTCCAGTTATTCTGTTCAATGCCTTTATACAGGGATGGCCAAAAAACACTTCACATTTCAGACAGCATTCAATCACACTTTGCTAAACTCAAACCGACTGCTCCCAACTTAGTTTTAAAGAGCACATCCCAATCTATCAATAAACGTTATAATAGCTTCAAGGACATCACAAGAATTTGGGAACCTTGTGCACTGTTCGAGCTCAACTGGTCCTCGGCGGATCATGGACCTTTACGACGTTATCTGAAACGCTGGTCAAAGGGGTCTTGCATATTTAGAGCTACTGTCCCTAGGAAGCAATCCGTCAGTTAACCGATTGAAGAAATTTCGTAGCAGCTTCAGGCTGGAACGATTACGGTAGGCCTTCTTGAGCTCAACGGTGATGGATGACGTCATATTTTGAGGACGGTGAGGGCAGTGGAGGAGGGCCTGCTTCTTTATGGGAGGACATCTAAGGGATATTTTGCCGTAAAACTTTCATCAACAGCGGCACCCTGTGCGATGAAAAGTTTGATGATGTGCGCCATGGGCAAAGTGTCTCTTTTTTTGGCCACCCCTGTATGTGCGCAGTGATAATTTACCGAAAGTGCTCCTTAGCTCCGTAAGTTTTCAACAATTTGTAGAAACAATCCCCAAACCTCTTCATCACCTACGTCCCATGATCATCTTTTTGCCCGAGCGGGCGACAGCAACGTCTCATCGTTCTCCCTCGACTGCACAGTAACCCAGTGGAACCTCCTCGCTCGAGGGACACGAAGTCCTTCATTCCTTTCGTTCAGAGCTTTCGTGAAGAAGTCTGACCATCGGGCCGGCGGTCGTCCAGGTGTTCGTTTGACGTCCCGAGGGATCCAGTCGGTAACCGCTCTGGTCCAACGGTCATCACAAAATTCCCATGACGTGTCCACATGATCTCATAACGGTAGGTCCGTGATCTTCGATCGTTGAGGGGATTCAGAGCTGCGGATTCCTCTGCACTTGCGTGCATCGTGTAACTCAAGCATCATCCACTCCACCGTTGGATAACAGTGATCGTCCTGCGCATTTTCGTTTTCTGACACTCGTTTCTCGAAAAAGTCGCGCAAAGTCTCAGTCTGAGAAGAAGGATTAATGCAGGAAGGAGTGCAATGGGCCGGATGCTCCTCGCCTTTCCACCATTTCTTGGAAGTTGATTTCTGTTTCGCATGAGTCAATGAACGCAAGGCACAGCGGCCTCTCGCAACGTATTCTTGAGTCTCGTAATCGTGTGAATTGATCGATCGTCTGAACCATCTTCAAAACCCTGCTCATTCGCGTGGCTGTCCTTCATCCAGTGTTCTGCAATCTGTTAAGGATCACTCAATGAAGCATATACAGGGGGGGGGGCAAAAAAAAGACATTTTGCCTCCACTTCCAGATGGATTTAAGCACATTTTACTCAACTCAGACCGAACGGTTCCAACTTATTATTAAAGAGTGCATTCCATTCTATATAGAAAATCTTCATAGTGGCCACGTACGTGGACGGCATCAGAAGAATTAGCCCTGGAAACATGGTGCACTGGTCGATCTCAATGGGGTCTTCGAAGGATCGTGTACCATAACGACCCTTACTGGAAAGCTAGTTCCGAGGGGATTTGCACAGTGGTAGCTAATGCCTCTAGAAAACTATCCAACATTAAATCGATTCACGAAATTGCGTAAGAGCTTCAGGCTGAAGCTCTTACGGTAGACCTCCTTGAGCCTGACGACGGTGACAGATGACGTCATATTCTGAAGACGGTGAGGGCAGTGAAGGAGAGCCTGCGTACACTAATAGAGGAACACTTAGGGAATACTCTGCTGAGGAACTCCCGTCAACGACAGCAATCTCTGCGAAGAAAAAAGAGCCGAAGTCCGACATAGGCAAAATGTCTTTTTTTTTTTGCCCCCCCCCTGTATAATGACCGCTATTCCAGTAAGTGAGCGATATTTTGTCGCTGAACCTCCCTTCTTGTGCAGCAACATAGTGGTTTTACATACATTCCAACTGGCTACAGCACCAGATTGGCGGTAAATTTTTCCAACGTCCCGATATAAAGGTTTAACCCAGGCAAAATCTTAGGAACGTTCCCTTCTGGTCTGTAGGATAGACCTTAGAGGGCAATCACAGATGTGGCATTCCCGTGCACGGAAATCACCCGACAAGAGCGCTAGGGCCTTGCAAAGTAAGCTGCAGCAGCTGCAATTTTTTTTTAGGCTGTTGTCTGGCGCCTCTCATCTGTGCGCTCTCGCCTCATACTCTCCTCTCCGCGCTTAGTCTCTCATTCCCTTAGCACAGCCGATTAGGAAGGTGAGTGAGCCCTTAACCTAAGCGTTTTCGACGGATTCTTTTCCTTTTTTCTTTACTGCCGGCCCATTTCGCACCAATACATTCGCATTCGTGTGCAAGAGCCACACCAATTTGATCCTTGAGGGTGGGGCGCAGGGGGGAAGGGGGGGGGGTAGTCGTATGAGAAGCGAAGTTCAAACGCAAGCCTCAAGCATTAGATCGCTGGAGTTATCCCTTCGATAGGTTGGATAGAGCTGTTTGCGATGACTATGGTGGCACCGTAATGGTACACGATACGCCAAGGATCCCGTTGAGTTTAACCCGTGCACCTTGTTTCCGTAAAGAGTTTTTCTGAGGTCGTCTTAGTAGAAGGCCACTATGAAGTTCTCTTTAATGAATGGGATGTGCTCTTCAATTTAAAGTGAGAGCATTAGGTTTGAATTAACCGAAGTGTGATCAAGTCCAATTGAATATGGAAAGAGAAGTCTCTTATTCCCCCCCCCTCTATATATTACAGTCGTTATCATAGCAGGGATGTTCGGCTGAACGTTGAACATAGATATGCCTAATGTCACTGTGTAGGCCGAATTCGCCGAGTTGTGGCCTAATTTTGAATGGAACTCGAGTGCATGGCGCAACCCAAACCGGCCATCTGGGCCAATTTATCCTTTACATTTCTGTGGCTACGAAAGCAACGGAAGACTGTGCATACACAAAATTTAAGAAAAGATTTCGACGTGTTACTATTTGATACTTTTTTTACAACAATTTTGTCTCCCACTGGATGGAATTGTCTTGCCCTGTGCTCGTTCAGCTGCGCTCCACAACCTGGTGGATTAATATTTAGCGGCAT